TGCGGTGCGGAATCCCGATAGAATTGAGCACCTGCACGCGTGCCTCGATTGCAACACCAATGTTGCACATAGCGAAACACACGCATATAGCGAAATCTGAGCAGAACACAAACGATCGCGTTGCCCACGACTGCGATCAGTACTAGGGTCAAATTGATGATGGTCAGTAATATGACTTCCCACTTTGTAAACGCCTGTGCATAGCCTACCGAATAGTCATATATCGAAGTAATGTTTGTGGTGGCGATAGTCATATTAGTAGATCCAGCTTTGCTCATGAGTAACAGTGATATATATATGTCAACTTAAACAAATCCAGATTTTTAGGGGAAAAATATCAATAATGATAGATTCATGCGAGACGAAAAATGTGCATATTGCAATTCCTGCTAGAATATTAGCTTTACATGGGTATAAATGATCCAATCAGATCCAATCTGAAAAATTACCAATCGCTCAATGTGATTGGTCGAGAGAGTACTGCACCTTGGGCAAACAGTTTGTCACCCATTCAAACGTGGTTAACTTTGTGATAGTTTTGTGGTAGCCGCTAAATGCCTCCAAAATGAACAACTAATGAACGAATCAACCAATCAATGATAGTTAGACTGATGCAATTCCAGTGGTGACAAATATGTAGGCAACGTTGAACTAGAGTGATGATTAAAACCCTTTCACGGCTTCACTGAAGATTCGTCGCGGGGTGGAAACAGTACGTGTTAAATTTTGTTGAAATGGAAATCTCAAAATACTTGAATTTTGGTATGTTGATAATAGATCCTGAAAGTAAACCTTTCGATTGACCATTTCGCCCAATTTCGCAAACTGTAAAAGCACCAAAAATGCAAATTAAAAGCGAAATATAGGCCGTCGGATTTGGAATATAAACTCTTTTTGATGTTTTGCTGTGCTTAGATTTCGATGGTGATGGTCGATTGTTTGTCGTCCACATAATCATCATCATCATCATCCTCATCAGCATCACGTAATCCCAGACGTCAAATTGTAGGTGAAACACCCGTTTGTGATTTGCCGAAAAAGAAATAGTCACCTTTACACAAAAGTTGGTTGCCTTACTCTGAAGTCATCTGCCCCACTTGGTTTTATTCGCAGTGCCNCAACTGCAGGCATTAGGTAAACAGCTCGTTAGCAAGCATAATCATCTTTGTGTGAATCAGACCATGATTGAGACAAATCGCTGTAATTCGTAAACGAAAGGTTAGTGTTGAACGGTTGCTTAGCAGTCGAACATTCAATAGCGCTGGGCGAATAAGGAATGGTAAATGCAAATAGGTTGGGTTAGTCAACGAGCGTCAAAGAGAGCAGCAAAGGATAACACAGAGTCGTGTCACGTAATCCCGGAGATAACTATTCAAGAATAAAAACAAATCACTGTGAAAATGATCCTACTAACTTACTACTTCACATCAAATCTGGTAACCGCTTACCGGTGATCCAAGAGACTAAGTGGGCCTGACCCAGTCTAATTCTTCAACGACAAACCGAACGCATATACTTTTGGATGAGAGAAACATTTTCGAGAGTTGGTTAGAGATTGTGCAGGTATTTTCCGTACGGGAACACAACTGCCACAAAGAAAGCCTTGTTCAGGATGACCATTACTCACTTTACGAGAGCTCTAACTTTCTGAGCTATATTGCCTTCCTAGTCTGGCTGGACAATCGGGAGAAACGGAAAACAGCTCGATAAAAATATTCACCCTCGTAGGACATTTATAGAATTTGTAATTCTAACTTGAAAAATCCATTAAATTTATGAGGACGCTCGCCGCACTAATACTCATGCACTGCAAATCTGTCCGGTCTGTTTGTGTAGATAAGAGATCAATGTGATCGGTTGAGTCGTGACGACTGTAAAAAGAAGTCGTTGATTGTCTTCGTATCCGTTGATTTACCACTACTCACGTCCACTCTGATATGCATTCATCAAGTCAAGTAGTTTACTCAATCAGAGTGGAATTGCACAGCCTCCGGTTGTTTTTCCACCCAACAGCATGATGAAGGTGCTCTTGTGAATTCACTGACGCAGATCCAGTTAAACTGGTAAATCGGGTCCAAAAACTCCACTGTTTTTGTCCGCTGCATAAATGCAGAGAAGTGGGGAGAAACGTTTATAGAAAAAGCTAAAACTGAATTTAAAGTAGGAACTGAGACAAAAGAACAATAGCTCAATAACGAAAACTCATTTGATTCGAATGCGGTTGCCGTTGGTGTAATATTCACAGTGCAAGTCCAGGTTGTTTACGCAATTTTCTGTGCTTTTGTTCCATACATATTATGCTAAACTGGAGTCCAACAGATTTTCATGAGGACCTGCTTTGACTAACAATATAAATTTCAGCTCTAATCAATAAATGGATAATATGGACTTACTGGCAACCCATGGACACTTTGGTCATTGAATAATTATTTACTATAAACCACTTCATTAAATTCAAATTACGCTTGTGTTATCATTTCAACCACTTCAAGGCGAGCGATCGTAGTTTTTCTCAAACGCGGTAAAGGAAATCAAGTCTAAGACTACATTGACGTTTGTGGTAAGACAAAACACGTATTCAATAATGTTTAATGGAAAACGGCAATGGGAAAAGAGCATAAACACACACGTGCGACTCGATCAGCTGCACGTAGATCTGCAAACAGGTTGCACCATTGTGCTCTGCTTTTGTCTTTCATCCCTTTAAATTTCCCGGTTTACAAGGGGATATTTTGCGAGTTTTCAAAGCAAATCTGAATATCTCATTCAAAGATGTGCACCACATGGGAATGATCATAATCTACTTGATCAAAGAAAATATTCAAATAGTTGTTTGGCCTATTTGAAGTTTGTATGTCGATTGTGAAACATTCAGTAGCCTCGGTGGGATTCGAACCCACGCATGGACACCGCCTACGCTTTGTACGCGCATGCGCTACCAGCTGAGCTACGAGGCCACACCGATAGCACCGATCTTTTTCACATTCGAATTTACCCATCCAACTTACAGAGGCATCTGGCATCCACAAGTTAGCATGTAAGCTGACCGGACTCCACCAAATGAGCTTCTAAGACAAGGTTAAATAGTTGCTTGGCAGATGTGAAGTTTGTTTGAAGAAAATATTATTTTCGATCGGGTTGAGAACGAGAATGTCGGGCAAAATTATCCATGGTATTGGAGGATCAAAATTCGGGAGATAATGTGCATACTTTCTGACTTATATCGAGTAAAATATTGAAAGGCCCATAATCACATAGATATGTGCGCTGAGAATTCAAATTCTATTGCAGCTCGCTT